CATTCCTGTTATTCGAAAAGGATTTTTTCCTCCATTTCGATCAACACACATAGGTATATCAGTTCAAGTAGGCTGATTACGAATATCACATTTAGAATAAATGAAACTGTATTTGCAGACTGTAGAGACAGGTTGCTGGAAAACCGGCAGTAGCAGGGTGTTCAGAAATCTATATATTCAAAGTCTCAAATTTGTTGCCTGATCTAGTAAATATAGAGAACAAATATTTAATTAGTATGAGTGTAATATTCTTTATTATACAAAAGATTTTCTGAAACATCAGAAGTGACCCTATTTTGCTGCTAAGCTTTGAATACATAGGTTTCTTGCCATTCTGAACACGATGGCACTGCCGATTCTTCAGAAATCTGTCTGATTTTGCTGAAGATGTATAGAAACCCTCTGGAAAACACCCGCACACATCTTTTTGTTTCTTTCGAAAACGGCAGTGGATAGAGCTCAAAAGTTCCTTAAGACAACAAATTTCTCAACATTTTTCCCGTATGATCTGAGCCCCAGGATAGCGAAGTCTCAAGAGGGATTCCCACGGGTGACGACATTGAACTGCCGCTGCTGCACAGAGGATACAGTTCTATTCATTCTAAATGTGGTATTCGTGATCAGCCTACTTGAATTGATATACCTATGTGTGTTGAGATCGGAATGAAAGAAAAAATCCTTTTCGAACACCTGCAGTACCTCAGGTCTTAGAAACTCTGATGTCACATAGCGCGAATTTGATCCGATTCTAATAATCAATCTCGAATTTATGTGGCTGCGGGCTGGAAAACGATCTTATCCGCCCTCCCCCTTTAATACTTGTGGCCAGGACATAAAAACTGAGTCGAATAAAAAACTTTCTCCCGAAGATTTCTTTTCAAACTTTTGTGTTCGTTCCTCCTCAGGAGTTCTCTGGATAAAAGTTTTCCTGAGATGCGAATGGGAGCCAATTTAGACAAAAAGTCCCGGAAAAGTATCTTATTCGACTCATTTTTTATTTCCTGATCACGAATACCAAATTGTTTTGCAGAAAAATTGCTTTAGGACTTCAAATGAGTAGCTGCTTAATTCGACTTATAATATAAATCACATATGCCAAGCCGAGCAGAAGAAGCAGCAAACACAATAAACGCATGCATAGTCCTCCCTTACGCGAACAAACAAAAAAACAAGTTTCGAAAATCTTAAGAAAAGCAAAAAAAGCATTGAAGGAGGTCAGACTTATTTTGGAATAATTTTACTAACGAACGTTTTTCGGTGAACTCTTCCGATTTCGTTCGTTCGTACGTCATCCGATAGAGGCTTGGGAGCAGGTAAAAGATCTAAATGGATATGGGCCCATGGCTCTTTCCTCAAAAGTTACAGCCATATGTTAAGTTTTCCTAGCGAAAACTAGCAAAAATAGAAAAATTCAGAACTCCGCCTAGAAAGGTCGTAGTAAACGGAAATTGTTTTTGGTGGTCATTCACAAATTTCAGCTTTCCATCGCTTTTCCTTCCTGGTTATCAAAATTCTAACGATCAGAAACAAACCCTTTAGTTAAATAGCGTGTATCTACTTCCGTAAATAAAAGCCTGGATATTTTGATTCCACGTGTCTCTTTGTTGTTTGTGTGAAAATAAAGTTCTCTCTCTCTCTCTTTTTCTGTATTGTGTGTTTTCCTTAACTACTATTTTTAGGAGGAAAGAGACAAAAGAGAGAAAACACAATAAAAGTACGGGTCTTTGCTTTTCCTAGTTTTCGCTAGGAAAACTAAAAAAATGGCTGTAAGTTTTGAGGAAAGAGCCATGGGTCCATATCCATTTAGGCTTTTTACCTGCTCCCAACGGTAATCGACCATGGTGAGTCGAGTAGTGACGTTTATTTTCAGTTTCGAAGCGACCCAAATCATTAAATTGAATATTTCTGAAAGTTTTATATTCGGGCGCTATGTAACGCTATGCGGTGTATTGAGTCTATATTTCAAAAAATTTTAATGTAGTGAATTAATTCGCGTCGAAACTGAAAATAAACGTCACCACTCGACTCAGCATGGTCGATTACCTATGTTTCAAGGTTCCTTGGGCTGATTCAAGGTCAGCTGGCCGAAATCGAGGCTCTCAGAAAAACGCCTATAACTCCTGAACAGCACAAGCCAAAGAGCTGGGCCTTGTGCAGATCGATAGAGAACAATTTTCTCTATCGAATAGTTATATTAGAATTTCAAATTCAACGAGGAATCTTTTCGCTAGGCAGTATCCAAAATGTCAAGCGAAAACTCATCTGATTGGTCAATTGTTCATCAGCCAGCTTTTGCCATTTCTATATAAAAAATGTTATTCTCTTTCGAATGTCGAAAGCCGCAGGTCTATAGCTGCTTCCTATCCGGAGTTATTCAACTTACAACCGAGTCCACTGTTCATTGAAATGGAGAGTAGAAACCGTCTCTAATGAGAATTGATTATTAGATACAGATGCCAGTCGCAAGTGAAATAGTAAGATGCAAGTAGTAAGTGGGAGTATTGGCGGACCTACATTGGCGAGATAGCCCCGACCTAACGACATACCCTACACAGACATAGAGACATACAAACAGACATGGAACTAATATATACTATACCACTAACATCCTACTGTGTATACGTGCGTGCATCTACAGCAGATATTTTCCATATAGTCGGCACCTTATGAGAATCGCAATCATATAACCTTTTCAAGGTTAAATTTTGCATCTAAACCAAACACATGATCCATCGAGAAATTTACTCCCTTTCCTTGTTTTATTTCTTCGCTAAACAGGGAAGAATCGATTCGAATTATGACCCACTGGGTTATAGATAATCTATTCTTTCATTGTTTCGGTTAGTCTTGAATCAGGATCAATCTACCACGATCCGTGCATATTTCCATGCGAGTTAGACAGTTTAAACACGGAGTCAAAAAAACAAAATTCATGTTTTTTTCGACAACTCAGCATCAGTTCCAGAAAGCGATGAGTAGGTTTTATGCTTCACACTCCAGGCATGGTGTTAAGAATTTAATTTTTAATTTAAAATCATGCTTGATTATACGAATTTTCGATACGTTATAACCGCTATTTTCGACTTGACGGTAATCTGTCATTATCAGATCAACTCTGAGTAGTAGCATAGAGTTTAGTTTTTCTATCTTTCTTGCTTTTCTAGATCAAGCTACGTTCAACCACAATGGTTCATTATTTTTCAATGTAACTCATTTTGAAAAAGTCTTTGCCAACCAACTCAAACGACTTCGTTCGACTCCAGCAGAGTCTAGCCGAGTCGTGCATCAAACTGTAATTTTCTACTATGTCGCCGTATGCTATGAACTTGCAAATAATATCGAGTTGCCACTGAACTCAAGTTTTTATCAACCTTTCGAGAATATTGTTATTCAATTTTTAGATGAACACGAATCACATCTTAATCAATTTTCATTCAAACAGAACTTGAACAAAAGAATGTGATTTTGAACTTTTTGTCTTAACAAAATTTCCTAAATTCTTTTATCACAAGTCAACTGACTCTTACGTCAATAAAAAATATAAATAAATTGATCTATACTCGTGATAAATGAAATCTATCTGAACTTTTATTATCTTTCTCTCAAGGTTCTGATATTACTGTATGATCTGTACTCATTGGTAATACATCCATTTCTACATCATCTTAAAATACCGTGTCGAATCTATTCCTAAAATATCTAATTTAAGGCTCCTCTCCCTCACTGAAGGTTTGTTTTGAGATTTATGCATCATTGGATAGTCCAAAGCGTCTGCTTTAGAATGCGATAAATAGCAAAAAAATATTTTCCAAAACCAATACATAACTTTTTTCGTGAATTATAGTAAGTATAATGATATAAAAATATTGACTAAATCTCATATCTAAAAAGACTTGATGGGTTTGCTACGTACGAAAGAGGGATCTTCACCATCGGCGAAAAAGATATAAGAAAAGATAGATGCAACTTTGTATGCTCTATCCGATGGCAGCCTCAAAAATTGAAAAGGTGTACAAGGGGGTCAAAACCAACAAGATACTAGTAAAAAACCTGTTTTTCAGCCGTAGTTCGGACTTTTTCTACTTGAACAACTTCAAAAGTATTCTTAAATTACATCAGTCGATTCAGCTTGAAATTCTGTGTCGATTGGTGTGCTTTTATGAATATTTCCGTGCAGTCAGAAGAAAAAAACGAATCTATACTCGATTTTGAAGGATTTTGAAAAAAGTCAGTAATTTACGCCGGAGAGTTGACAATAGGGTTTCTGGAAAACGAAGTCCTTGTTCTTTTGTCAGAAAATTTTCCAAGCCACATAGCTTGATAGAGCATACAATTCTGAGTAAAGCAAGATATGTTCTGGCTGTTTATAATGATTTTTAACTGGAATCTTTTGCTAATTTTCACGGTCTTTGTAGCCCTTTCTAAATCGAGTGCACTCGCTTGAAAAATCATTATAAACAGCCAGAACATATCTTGTTTACTCAGAATTGTATGCTCTATCAGGCTATGTGGCTTGGAAAATTTTCTGACAAAAGAACAAGGACTTCGTTTTCCAGAAACCCTATTGTCAACTCTTCTCATTGAACGACAATATGCATCACATCTAATAGAAAAATGTTCGGGCTATTCAAAACAGTATTTAGATTGGTTTCAGCTGTTGCCAAAATGTCAAAAAGAAAGGAGTTCTTGTGATAATGACACACAGTACTACTTTTCCATATCTTTAATGACTGGATCCATCTTTTTGGATGTTCTGATCAGCTCACTTTGTAGAGATCTTCAACGGCTATCCAATCGTCTGTTTTCGCAAAATACATAATTTTTCATTATGGCAGAAAACTTACCAAAGGAGTATTTAAAGTACTTAGATAGTTGAAAATCATTATATCGGCCACGTATTTCAACTATTCGTCCATGTGGACATATTTTTCAAAGACTTATTAATACGCACTTTTGAAGCCCGCGAAATTTTCTATCGAATGATATATAAAGTGGCGTGGTTAATGATGAACTGGTTGGACAATATAAGCGATAAACGCTGCTGACCTGAAATAAGATGACCTGAAGGGCAGATATAAAAGTTTAATGCATCAATGTGTTGTTGATTTCTTACATCTAAATTTTCTTTTCGTTCATCATTTGTCATAGTTCACTGCTTGGTTGCATTCTAAATCATCATGTTTCATATTGTATCTTAAATATTTCTATCGTTTTTTTATATTAATTTTACATGCTAATTGCAGCATCGATTATTGTTCAATTAAGTTTGTCCAACAAATTTTGTCATTTGTTCAGCGTTTTCTGAAGAAAAATATTTTTTCTTTGTTAAGTAGTTTTCACAATAGACGCAGAGTACTTACTTCGGTCCAAATATAAGATCAGCATCTGGAGCACCTTTCTGATGAACATAAAGTGGCTGTCGTTCTCGATTTATATTAATCATAGCTGGAGTACGATTTAATACATTGAGCATTAGTTCTACAACAAATATCAATAATCAAAATTCATTTAATACTTATCATTTTAACCGTTTACCTTGTTGTTCAACATCTTGCTCCATACGTGTTGACATATTCAACATTAAAATTTTTAATCGAGCTTTATCAGTTTTTATCTAAAAATAGAAACTGGTATGTCATTCTTCTTTCACCTTCTTTGTTTCTAGTTTATACCTCTTCGCGTGCTTTTAAACGTAGAGCCATTTCCGATGACGTTGGCACAGCTAAATCATGGAACTAATGAAAAAAGAAGGGATAATATAACAGTTTAGGTCAAAAAGGTAGGCGATAGCAAAAAAGTATCTGCTATGCTAATGTGTGCATTCCAAATGATTTGTAAAAGGCTCTCTAACAGAACTTACTGGACACATTTATGTTGGTTGATGATACTTTATTTTTACGTAAGTGTACGGGTATAGCAATATCGGGTGCCGGTACTTTGATTACTTCTGTGGTTCGTTGCTAGAAATACAAAATAGTTGAAACTAACGAAAAGTAGGCGTATACAAAACACTTTCTCTTACAGCAACCGATTCAGTGATAAGTGTATCGAAAGCTTTGACAAAATCATCATTTTCTTCACTTGTAATTTTCTTTGCTTTCAATTGTAAAGAATTATTATCGTCGTCATCATCCTCTTGTTCATCATCGGCATTCATTTGATCGTTTTCCAAATCACCAGCCTATAACACAAGAATTTTGCGATAAACTGGGTTAACGTATTGACTATCGAGCACTGCGAGTCACTGACAGCGATTTCATTTCGATCGGAAGTTATTCAGAAAACATCCAATGATGTTGGAATTTGAAATGTGTGCAGGATGGCACGGGTCGACGTCGCAGTAAGGTCACCTTTTTTTAGTCTACCTGCTGATCAAGCTCTTTCAAAACTGTCGTGCAATATTCTCAACTATTAATAGAATGCGATATGTTAACCTTTTAAAGAGAATTTAAAAACTGAAAATTTTACGCCGGAACTTTGAAACTGTTTTCAGCATGTAGTCTGTATAATTGCTATAATAAAAACGCCTATTCGAAATATTACTAAGTTGAATGATAGTTTCTCAAAAAGTTATTTAGTCCATTCTGGTGTTTCTGAACCTTCGATTTGTTGGAAACCGTACTTCTACATGTTCTGAAACTTTTCTGTGTGAACCAGTTGAAAGAGGCTTGTTCCAAATCCTTAGGTACTGGAATTGATCAAAATCGGTTCAGTATACCAGATAGAGGTGAGTAAGTCAAGTCAAAAATGCCTCAAGTCCAAGTCAAGTCTAACGTGACTTCCTTTGACTTGATCGCAAAAGCTTTTCGATATGACTTGACTTGACTTGAAAGATTTGTTTTCGGGACCTTGACTAGGCCTGAAAATTCTTGCAATTCGAGTCATTTGAAGTAAGAGATTTTCGTCTAAATTTCGCATTTTTTACCATAAAACAGCGTTTCTGAAACTGTAACAGCTATCCCGCACACAAAAGACGCTAGCACATTTTATGTACTGCCTATTTTTTAACCAGACTTGACTTTACTTGAAGGAAAAAATTTCGAGGGATGGTTTGACTTGACTTGGCTTAGGGGGAAAACTTTTCTCACCTCAACTTGACTTGACAATTGTTTTAGTGACTTGAAAAACCTCTGACTTGCCCAGCTGTGGTACAATAGTTAAGTAATCGCAAACTTTCGAAGTTTACACATCTTTAAAACTATCCATGACTATAGTCATGGATCCCTGGGAAACTGGACTATGGCTCGGCCTATATCATAGTGTATTCTATACTGAAATCTTGATAAGATCAACAAATTAGCCGCTCGCTTGCTCTGTAGAAAGTCACATAGGCACAGTGGGCATTTTTTGCCAGAGCAGGCGGACTTTAGCTTTTTGAGTGAACTAAAATTTCATGAACCATTTTTTTATAGGTTTTTCATGATCCTCTTTCTAATGGCATAAGAGTTGGATATTGAAAAAGTTTTCTAAATAGTTTTCCAGAGATCCGGCGTGGAAAACCCTTCAGAAAACTTTCTCAATATTTAAAAATGCTGCCACTGGAAAGAGCATTGGCGATAACCTATAAGAAACATGTTTCGAGTCGTTCAGGTTACTTTATCTTGAAATTCAAATTTTCAGCACGAAATTGTTTGTGTTAATCTCAAAAACTAAGAAAGGACGGGGGCGATTATTTGATGAAATCGGCCCCTGCTCGAATTCCATCGAAACACACACGGTTAGATGCAGACTAAACAGGAGAACATTTCTAGCCACTCGACAGACCTTGGAGTTACTCTAAGAAAAAACTAGGTCGAATTTACTGTAACCAAAGTTCTACTCTTCTTTCTTCAACGCTG